GGAAAAATAAGCATTCTTTGCAGCAAGGGGTCAAATACTTATTTCCCCCACTGTGTATATATATATATAATATATATATATATGTGTGTGTGTGTAATATTATATAATATTTTCATTAGATTTACTGTTACAACATGTAACAAAGTAGAATTTGTTATGCAACAGACCCTAAAAAAATGTCCCTTAATCGATGGACTTGTGACACTAAATGTGAGCATGCGATTATCTTGTGAGAGTGTGAGTTCCTGTCTCGGTTTAAATGTCCTCCTCCCTCTTTTTCCGGCGGTCAGGTGGGAGCGGCCCGTGGCGCTCGGGGCTCGGTATGTCTCCGTAACTGCATATCGCCCGTCTGAACGGTCACTTTGTGGAGGGAAAACACAGCTAGAATGCTGTAGTAATTCAATAGAGCGGCCGGACATGAATGGGCCACTGTGGCATCTGTTTGAATGCAACGTCTGTGATGTAACGCTCCACGGCTCGGGGGGGGGTTATGAGGTTATAGGAGGCAGAAAAAAAAACGTTGTAAACATTCCCAGCTGCCACCGGTCAGTGGGGAAGAGTCCAGGTGTCTGGTGTGACCCGCAGATCTCCAGGTGTGGCCTCAAGGTGCAACATGCTGGGTCAAATTCCAGTCCTCTCTGGGCCGGTTTTAGAGGTTTTCCCTGTTTCCAGACACCTGATTCACATCAAAAAGCCGAGTGAAAAAGCTCAACAATGTCCAGAGGAGATCCAATTTAATCAGAATCAGGTGTACAGAAGCAGGAAAACGTCTAAAACCTGCAAGACAGCGGCCCAAAGAGGACTGGAGTCTGACCCCCCCCCGATTGAATTGAACAAAATCAAACAAATTTGGGTATTTATCAGAACAATCGATGACAGTATCTAATGTAAAAGTGGGCACTTTCAGGGGTAAATCATATATCTTTTATATTCTTTATATGGTGCAAAATACATGAAACATAAACTTAAAGTTATATCTTTGAGTAAGTCTTTTCTATTTCATATTTCACCTTTTCTCCTTTCAGACCCTTAGGGCCTGGATGTCCTGTTTATAAGCACAGAAACACAACAATAAGTTGCATATCCTTTTATTTAATCATACGTATGGAATAGACAGAATAATTGAATTGATTGAATTGATGTTGGGGGTCCTCTCCATTGGAAGTGAGGATAGATACCAGATAAACGCAGCAGGAAGTGGTTGTAATTTATTTTATCTTTTTTAAACTTTGTTTATTGAACATTTCGAACATAAGACAGACATTGTTGGGACAAATTCAAAGTGTCAATACAACCTCAGTGTCACAGTTCTGTCAACCCCCAATCAACCCACAGGCCAAAATAATAAATAGATAAACAAATAAACAAATGAATAAAAACAGAATGAATTGAATTAAATTAAAAAATATATATATAATTAAAAAATATATATATAAATAGATAAAAAGTATAAAGAGAAAAACAGATTAAAAAACGGTGGACATAAATGTAAATGTAGATCTAATTTCTTTTTTAAGCATGTGGCCAAAACATAAGACTCTGTGTGGCATCACCTGGAGATCCTGCCTGTTTGTCACAGTGTGTGTGTGGGGGGGGGGGGGGTCGGGCCCCCCCAGGCTGCATGTTTGGACGCTTGGCCTCTTACAGTGGGGGAAATAAGTACTTGACCCCTTGCTGATTTTGCAGGTTTGCCCACTTACAAAGAATGCAACGATCTATAACTTTAATCATACATCAGTACATTCTAACAGTGAAAGGCAGAATCCCAAAGAAAATTCCAGAAAATCACATCATATGAATTGATAAAAACTGATAACCATCTGATGAGGAAAAATAAGCATTCATGCATATTTTTTTAAACTTTTAGCTGAATTTCTACTGTGTTATTTATTTTTCTGGATACGCTTTTGTGGAGCACTTTGGAAAACCCTGTGTTTGTTTAAATCATGCTATACACAGTGGGGGAAATATGAGGAAAAACTGATGAGGAAAAATAAACATTCTTTGTAAGTGGGCAAACCTGCAAAAACAGCAAGGGGTCAAATACTTATTTTCCCCACTGTATAAATAAAATTGAATTGAACTGTGTCCGGGTTTGGGTTTGTTTGGTTTGTTAGAGGAAATAAGTATTTGACCCCTTGCTGATTTTGCAGGTTTGCCCACTTACAAAGAATGCAACGATCTATAACTTTAATCATAAGTACATTCTATCAGTGAGAGACAGAATCCCGAAGAAAATTCCAGAAAATCACATCATATGAATTTATAAAAATTGATAACCATCTGATGAGGAAAAATAAGCATTCTTTGTGAGTGGGCAAACCTGCAAAATCAGCAAGGGGTCAAATACTTATTTCCCCCACTGTGTGTGTGTAGTTGTTGTGAAGTTGTGTGTTTGCTTACCCGACCTGTACCCCCCCCCCCCCCCCCCCCCAGGAGGAGTTCTGTTACCCCGCCGAGTGCCTGGCCCTGACGGTGGAGGAGGTGATGCACATCCGGCAGGTTCTGGTCAAAGCCGAGCTGGAGAAGTTCCAGCAGTACAAAGACGTGTACAACGCGCTCAAAAAAGGAAAGGTAGAGTCCCCCGAAACCTCTCCTCCTCTCCCCCCCCCTCCACCACGAGTTTCTGCTCACCAGCGTCTTTTTATCACCACCTTTTCCCTACAGCTCTGCTTCTCATGTCGAGCCAAGAAGTTCTCCCTCTTCACCTGGGCCTACACCTGCCAGTTCTGCAAAAGGTAGACGAATTTTTGATGCATGACCTGTGCATCTGGGGTTTTATCTGTTTGTTTTTCTGTATGTTTTAAACCTTGAAAACTTAAAATAAAATTTATTTAAATTTTTTTTAAAAAAAAGGTAGACGAATTTATTCTTTATCTGCTGCTGTTCAACCCACAGATCAATCAATCAATCAATCAATCAATCAATCAATCAATCAATCAAGTTTATTTGTATAGCCCTTTACAATACCCAAATGGTACTCAAAGTGCTTTACAACAAAGCCATAAAACAATACAAAAAAAACATACAAAACTGGTTCCGTATTTACTTTCCTGGGCACAAACTGTACTTTTTTTTTTAGGTGTAGCAGAATGCATCTTCATTTTTATCTATTTCAAAACTTTTTTGTGTGTGTGTGTGTGTGTGTCCTTTTTCTTATGACTTTTTCTTATTGCCTGGGAGTGATTGGAGGTCGTTTTGTTGTGTTTTTTGTTTTGCTTTTATAACTCAAGGGAATTGTATGGTTTGTTTGATATGTATCACATTTTAAATGTATGGCTATGCAATTCTTGTTAAAAACCAAATAAACAAAGTTTGAAAAAAAACACAAAAAACATACAAAACATACAGAAACAACTAAAAATGCTGCAGGGTAATTAAAAGCCTTCCAGAAGTGCGTAAAAAAGGAGCAGACAGAAGGAGGAAACCTAAGAGACCCTAGTCCGAATTAAATGCTAATTTAAAAAAGTGGACTTAAGCTTTTTTTAAAAAAGGCTGAGGTCAGTAGTGGCAAAAGAAGGATCAGATGAATTCTGAAGTTTTTAGAGAACTGGAAAAACACTCGTCTAATGTTATTTATGGAAGACTAAATGAATTCCTGATAAATTTGACATAAAAACACGTGACTCGCCACCATTCAGTCCACTCACGAGCCCAAAGAAAGTTTGTGGAAATGGTAATAGTTTTTATTTTTATTTTAAAATCTCACCTGAGGAATGGACAGCTGGTCAATCAGGACAAGGCCAGAAAAGGCCAGAAAAAACTGGTCTGGCCCAGAGTCCAGAGTCCAGTTTTCTCCAGTCTGCCGTCTGTTTGCTGTGACCTCACTGTTCCCCGTCTGTGGTGAAAGGAAACCTTCATAAAGGCCGGTTGTCCGTTAGGGAGCCGGGCAGCCCTCGTGTGGTTTTGCGATTGGGAAAAAAAAAGAGAAAAAAAAAAAAAGGGATGATTGAATTAAACGGTCTGTGTCAGTCTGCTGACTTAAAGTTGAATAAATAAGTCTGTAGTGTACAGCATAAGGCTTTATGTTCAACAATCATGACATCATGAATTAAATATGGACAGAAGAAAAGATTATTGAAAGGTGAAAAGACGTTTGTTTGGTCTTAATTAAACAGTTTGATTTAAACTACAATTTTTGTGTTTGAAAGTCCTTAAAACTGCAGTTAGATCTTAACATAATTAGTTCTTTTCTTAATCTTTTCCAGGCCAGTTTGCTCACAGTGCTCTAAAAAGGTACGTTGACATTTAGCCAAAACTCTTTTTTTCTGATCATTTTTCTACTC